AGCGAGAGGGGGGAAAGAAGAAAAGAGGATAAGTCCCATCGTGGTATGTGGGCTCTGCGGGCTGGAATCGCCAAAGTAGCATCGTGTACCATATTTGTTGAAGTTTTTGCTTCGACACTGGGCTCTTGCGGCCGGCGAGCCTGTTTCCACAAGGCTTTATTTTGCACTCGGGCGCGTAACCGTTCCAAACCCATCTCTGAGCAAATACCAATTTGGATTGAACCAATTTTTCGAGTCTCGTGCCGGTGATGTGAAGTGAGCAGAATACATTCCTCAAATAGCTGGGTTCCAACACGCCATATCTCTAATATTCTGGCGAGTGTCATAGATACATTTGGCACAAGACTGGTGCTGTCATTGGCTTCCGATGGTCTGTGGTTGAATATGCATTCTATGTTTGGCTATTTCTACATGTAAATATCTTATCGTCGCCGTACAAGCTTGCATTTGTATGAATACATATTTTATCCGCCACTTGGTGTTGATGAATCCAACGTGACATCTTACACGGGGGCTCACATCATTCAGAACCCCTCCCCTCATCCCCAATCCGTCATTTCTATCTAAGTGTGGTCGATCTCCACGAATAGGCTCTCTTCGCCGGCTGCGACTCGGTCCCGTTTGAACCTTCAGGCATCGTCGTGGAGTCCAGAGGCCCCTCGCGCTTGGTTTGGACCCTCCTGGCCCGCGTCGGCTGCGTGACAGGGGCAGAGGCACGCGCAAAAGTCATGTTGTCTTCCTCTTCAAAGGCCGCCGGTGAAAGGCTGTCAGCCTTGCCGGTGGGCTTGGTATTAGAAGCGTTGTGGGAGATGGCGTCGAGAAGAACCTCCTTAACCTCCACCTTCTGGTCGAGGTTCTCCTTTCTCAAGGCCTCGCGGGTCTCGTGGACAAGAGTCAGGATCTCAATGTCGGACTGGATGAGCGCCTCGTCCTTGTCGGACTCGGCGGCCCTCCGGAGGTACTGCACCGCCCAGTAGAGGCGGTACCTAACCTCCCTGGAAGTGCGGTACGCGCGCGTCCGGAGCTCGGCGAGCAGCCAGCGCACCTTGTCGTACTCGTGTCGGATGACGTAGGCGGCGAGAAGGTTGTTGAAGTTGTAGACGCTGTAGCAGAGGTCGCCGCGGCCGTTGACCTCGGCGGCGATCATGCAGAATTGGACCATCTCCCGGTACTGGCGGAGCTTCTCGCAGATGCGGGCGGCGCGGTGAAACAGGCCGTCGTCGATGTGGACGTGTTTGAGGCGGAGATCGTCGAAGACGGCCTTCATTTCGGGAAAGGCTGGGCTTCGGCCGTCTTCGCCCGCCATACCGGCGTGGCGCTCTCCAATTTCCTCGAGTTGACCGAGGACGATGGGGTACATGGCCTCCTTAGTGTCGCAACCTTCGGACTGCGCACTGCTCAAGAGTGCCATGGCCTGTCTGCTTCGAGGGCCTTCGGTTTCAACGACGGCTCTGACTGCCAGCTTGAGACACCGACTCGTGTGTCCCATGCCGTTGTGGAGCGCACGCTTGTAGAGAGCCAGGACACTGTTCCACCGCCCGATCTGCGCGTCCGCTCTCATGGATTCAAAGGCACCCCCCTCGTGGGCAGGGCTCGCCATGTAAGACCTCAGCCGGACTTGTTTGGCTCGCGGGCTTGTCGTATTCGTCAGAGTCTTGTAGCATTGCTCGAGGCCGGGGAAGGCCGTGCTGATGCCAGCACCTTTCATGACATGGTACAGTTGGGACAACTGTTTGACGTCGTACTTCCAGTCTCGGCGGCAATTGACCAACATTGCCTTCCAGAACCTATCATCCACGGTATACCCGGAATCCCTACAGAACACCAGCCATTGCTTCAGTGCATGTATATCGCGACATTTTGCATGTCTATCGGCAATGAATGTCACCAGATGGCGGTCAAGGCCTAATCCGAATTCCGAGATGTACGTTTCCATGAATGTCTCGACCTCGCCCCACGTGTGAGTCTTAGCATAAGTTTCCAGTACTGCCGCAAACACGCGCCTGAAGTGCCTTTCGTTGTGAGGGTTGGTCGTTTGCACCGTCTTCATCGCCTCAAAATCGCTGAGAACTCCGGCCCAATCTCCCTGCTTGGCTTTTTGTAGGGTGAACTCGCCGAGAATCTTGACATCGGTTTGAGCTTCTGGGTGTATAGATATAAGTTCCTCCATTAGTAAATCTGCTCTCTCGGCTTGTTGAGCCTCGATGCAGATTCGCACCATCCTCGATCGAATCTTAAGGGTGTCTTGGATACCGTAAAATTCGTTGTCCCTTGCGTCTTCGAAAAGCTGAAGCGTCTTCGTGAAATTACGTGTCGACCTCCAATGCACCCACATGATGTCTTCTAGCCATTTCAATGGCATTTCCCATCCATCGCGCTCCCTCAGTCGGTTGAACGTGTGGAGAACTTCGCGACACCGGTAACCTCCGGTTGCAACAACGGAATCGACCACGCCCATGCAGAGGCGCTTAGAGTATGCAGAGGTCTTTTTCAACTCGTCGAAGATTCCGGTAAATGTGTCGATGGCTAGTGCGTGCTGCTCGTGCTCGAAAAGTTCCTTCATGAACCAGACCATGGTTCCAAGCTTATCGAAACTCCAAATAGAAATCTGTTGAAATACTTGAATAGCGTCAATGGGGCAGTCGTCCTCCACAAGGGCTTGGCTAATCAAGTCCTTGCCCGCTTTCACGTAGCCAGGTCGTATTTTCGATTTTTCCAGCGGAGGCAATAGCAAGTTGCCCACGTACAGCCTTGCCGCTGCTTGTAATCTTTCGGGGGCAGATGGGTTTTCCTTAGGCTGCTGCGTCGTCGGGGAGACCAAAGACATAGCCAACTCAAGAACACATTGCGCCAGCATGTCGTTCTCAGTGGCTACCTTATGATGGACCCCAAACTCTAGAATTTGTCCGGCAATTCGAAATTCGCTCCGCCGATGACAAGCTTTTGATAGCAGCGAAGACAATTCCGAAAACCATTCAGGCAGCGCTTGCGACTGGTCCACAAACTTGTAGACTCGGCCAACGAGATTCAGGGCAGCGGGTGGAATGTCCGTCTCGCGCCGTATAGACGTCGAATTACGAAGCAGCTCCTCTAGCCCAGCAGCCTGCGCAATAGCACCGGAGTGGTTGCTGATTACACGTTCTACTGCCAGGGCAATGGCGTTCCTTTGTACTGGCCCTCCGTTTGGTTGATTTCCAAGTGACCTTGGAATGCCGTCTCCAGCAGACAAGTCCTGTATCGCAGGGACTGCGGAGAAACGGGACACAAAGGGGTCATGGCTCTTTCTCTGCGCAGCGGTTGAGGCCGGCCGGCCACTTTCCTGCGTTGCCTCTCTCTTGTCTGATGATTTTTGCGGAAGATCTCGTTCGCTCGTTGCTCTCGTTGGACGTCGTGCGTCGGGGCCGTTTCCGTTGACGTTCTGATCCAAGTACGAGCTATCAAACGCCAATCTCCCGTGTTCGTGTGAGGAATTGCGGCTCCGAGATCGTGCTGGCCAGCTAATGAAGTTTGGGTCGGTGGCAACTTCTTCCTGGAAGGCCTCGAGGGCAGCGACGCCGCTGGTGCTGTATCGTTTCAAGGACTTCAGTCTCCTGCCATTTTCGACCGCAGACCTTGCTATCTTGATTCGCTGGCGACGCTCTTCTGCCAAGAGGACGAGAGAGCAAGAAGTTCCGAAGAGTAGACCTCGAAGTGCATGGATCGCGGCTTTCGAGGGGACGGGGGCAGGGGCGGACATTGTGCGAGCTCGACAATTGCCATGATCGTTCGCAACTTGATTATCGGATCATTTCGCAGTCGGAAGTGGTCAATCGCTCGAAAGAGGTGGTATCGCGATGTTGGGCGCGGTTGTCAATGGGCCGTTGGGAATGCTAGTCAAATGCTGAAGGACCCTTGTCACATCTACACACTGTCGTACCACCCTCGGCCTTTGCTAAGATATGCGGTCGCTTTTCGCCCGCTGAGTCCAAACCCGGCGCGCTGGATCCCAGGATCGAGGTGGAGGGGAACTAGAGTTGATCCGCTCCGCTGCAGTTTGCCTTAGTCATCACCAGAACCTGAGATGCAAGGGACCCGAACCCGAACCCGAACCCGAACGCCAGCTCCCTTCCTTTGCCTTCAATGGCCCATATCGCAAAGTCCATCCGTTTGTAATTCTGACAACAATGCAGATTTCAGAGATTTCAGAAGCTCCATTGTCTCCGTGATCGCCGTTGATCAGAGATTTTACTTCATGCAGTAAGCGTTGAGTCAATCAAGGCCCACTGCATCAGAAGTCAAGAGTACTTTACCGGAATATTGATGCTCTAGTACTAGAGTGAAGACAGAAATGTAAGGCTTATCAATCATCATCTCCCCACGGCGAAGAAGGCCCATCGTCAGCTCACATTCTTCTTACAAGCCCATATTGCAGACCTGCAGGGCACCGGAGACTTCATTTGGTCCGATTGCTTGAAATCAGTTCGCCCGGCCGCCTGCAGTCCGCAACCGGTAGTGCGAATCGTCGGGGTTAAGACCGGTGATTAGGCACAAAGCGTCTCCCGTGCAAGCTAAGGTGGTATGCGGGACTCGCGCAGGGTCCTAATGCATGGCACTCCGGCTGGAGCATCACGGACTTGGAGACTGGCGCAGGAGCTAACTCTAAATGTCCACATATCCAATTGGACTGACAGCGTCTGAAGACACTGGACGAGCTACCTTACCATGAGATCATCTGCGCCTTGATCTACAACCTGCCCTGCCAACTGAGGGGTCCTGCTTCCTTTCCTTCCATGTCGCCTACCGTACATCCAGTTTCGTCCGGAGGGGGAAAGAGCGGTCGGTGTTAAATGACCCCCCGCCTTCCTGGTCGAAGTCTCCCTCATGTAAAATATATAAATTCCACCTCGTCAGCGCACAAATTCATCCACAGACCAACCCGTTGACCTAACTCCAGCCTAAGCTTCTCTCGTTCTGGGCTGCATTCGACTTCATTCCTCATACATCACTCACTACCTATCATCATGTCGGCCCTACCTATGGCAGGTCCGCCCAAGACCCCCTTGGCGCGTTACCGCATTCTCTCCCCGACGGCTTCCGTTCGAGTGAGCCCCCTGTGTCTGGGCGCCATGAACTTTGGCGACGCCTGGTAAGATGATGCTGGCGAGATGTGTCTCATACGTCCTTTTCTAATAAGTTTGACAGGAAGGGATACATGGGAACTTGCGATCAAAAGACCGTCGAAGAGATTCTTGACTTCTTCCATGAGCAGGGAGGCAACTTCATTGACACCGCCAACAACTACCAATTCGAAGAATCCGAGGCTTGGATTGGCCAATGGATGAAGAAGAGAGGTGTTCGTGACCAGATGGGTAAGTTCGGCCGTCTATTCCAAGAGAAGTTATGTCTGAGATCGATCCAGTCATTGCAACCAAGTACACCACGAACTTCCAAGCTGGCCCTAACGCGCCGGGCATCATGGCCAACTTCACCGGCAACGGATCCAAGAGCTTGCACACGTCTGTAGAGGCTAGCTTGCGCAAGCTGCAAACCGACTACATTGACCTGGTGAGCGGCTTTGTTTCTCGTCTCTCAAGTGACGTCACTTACACAGAATAGCTCTATGTGCACTGGTGGGACTACTCTACTTCTATTCCGGAGCTGATGCAGTCCCTCAACAACCTCGTCGTCACCGGCAAGGTCCTGTTTCTCGGTATCAGTGACACTCCCGCTTGGATTGTCAGGTAGGTATCCAAAAGCATACTCCCGTCAAAGGAGCAAGGCTGACTTCCCCATCAGCAAGGCCAATGAATACGCGAGAAATCATGGACTACGTCAATTCTCAGTCTACCAAGGTCGATGGTCTGCAGCCTCAAGAGACTTTGAGCGAGAGATCATTCCAATGACCAAGGCTGAAGGTTTGTTGCAGTGCCTTCAAAGTGGAACTGAAAAATATCCTCTGACTTCTGATTAGGAATGAGCTTGGCACCCTGGGGCGCGCTCGGCGGCGGCGTGAGGACTCCTAACTCATATTCTGTCACCCTCTTATAGAAGACCAGGACTAACTTCGAAACAGGCTTTCAAGACGGAAGAGCAACGCAAGTCCCAGGAGGGCCGCAAAGTTCAGGCTAGCGAAGCGCAAATCAAGATCAGCCAGGTGCTGGAAAAGATTGCCAACAGCAAAGGCACGATCATCACGAGTGTTGCTTTGGCTTATGTAATGCAAAAAACGCCTTACGTCTTCCCTATCGTCGGCGGCCGCACTGTCGATCATCTGAAGCAGAACATTGAGGCGTTGGCCCTCGATCTCTCCGATGAAGAAATTCAGGAGATTGAAGGAGCTGTCCCTTTCGATATGGGCTTCCCTCACAACTTCTTGTGGGGAGAGAAGGTCCCGTCGAACCCTGGCGAGGTCTGGTTGCTGAACATGGGAGGCAATTTCGATTATGTTCCAGAGCCTAAGGCCATCGCACCCAAGGAAGGCGGAAAGTAGTACTATCGAGTGCGGAATCAGTACAAAAGGTGGCGGCCAGCAGACTACTGAGGGGTTGTTGGAAGCGACGTGGGTTGCCAAAACCGCTGCGTAACTACCTTTTAGTACAATCTCATACATGTTTCTGATCAGGTACCGGTCCGGTTCGTGATGTCGAATGTAGTAACGAATTGTAGACAGATGGCGTCTGGGGCTGTCGTCAATCTGTTGACTGTTCAAGGCTCTGCAATGTAGCATGCGGCTTACTTGCCTTGCACACCAATCACCACTCATTCTCTCCAAATTACTTATGCAGGCATGAAGCATATCCTTAACTGGCATTACTGTCCTTGAGAAATTGAATTACGAAGAGAATTGATCAAGGCTGACGCCTGGGAAACCGAGGTGCTGTGCCCTTTCTCTTGATATTTGCATTGCATGATACATCCACTAGAAGCCACCAAAGACGGCACATGACTGCAGACCGTAAATTGAAGGAGAAATATTCGTCTTAACCAAGCAATTAATTATAGATCTAGGAGGCTATGTGATAAAACGGGCAAGATGAGTTCTCATCCAGCCGGTATAATTAGATGGGGACTACATGGCATTTATCAACCTGCTTCCCACTCAATCATTGAGATAGATTCATGTCAACACTAACCGCAGGTACTTTGGTACCATGTGAGAGAGTAGTGCCTTTGGTACCTGTTCTCGCAACACAGGGAAGGCGTGGCGTGGGATATCGCAGGAGGTCCTCAGAAAGCAGTAGTAGCTCCATAACTCGCTCTTTCCTCAAACAACTCGTCAGTTGTCACCTACCTGAAAATAACTTTTGGGCATTTCCTGCCACACTTGAATATTCTTTTCAATGCCATACCTTCAAATCTTCACATTTCCCAACCGCCATGATTGATGATATATCCTTCCGGCCTTAATTCTGTTAACCATCAAACCGTTAACCAGGAATAATCTTCGAGAATTGTTTGGCGAAGAGGAGACGAATAATGTGCGTCTAAGAGGGTAATTCTAGCCGAGGAAACCACCTAGACGGGCCCGTTGGATGCTTTGGGACATCCTCTCGTAGACGTCCTTCTAACTGTCTCGATTATCTGGCGGTACGCTGTTCATTCTTGTACAACCATGTCGTCGTGAGTCTAGATGCCTGCCTCTTGGAGCTAGCTAATTGGAGTGACAGGATTCAAGAGTGCGTGTTGGCTTCAACGAACATTTCCACGTTCATCGAAAGGCAAACTTTCGAATCCGAGCCCCCTAGAATACTGCATGCGGTCAAAGAAGGGCACCTGGTCAGTCACGCAAGACGAAGCCTGCCTGGCCTCCCACGCCACATCAATCCAGACATCTTTGCTGAAGCATCCGTGAAGGTCGAAGGACTTGACCAGAGCTTCGAAGATTGGGATTTCGTTACTCACGACCGAAGCTCTCCGATCCCAAGCATCGAGGAAAGCTTTTCGGTTGGCGAGTCACCGTCCCAGAGAATGGGGAGCACCATGCCCGCCACGCCCCTCGACTCCGATTACACTTTATCGCCTCTCCCAAAATCGAGTAGTCGATTCGACCGAAACGAAGGTAAGTCTCATGCGATGAAAGTGGAAGTATTCTGACAGCTTTACCAGCATGGGTACCGGCAGAAGATGCTCCGGTTCAGAAAAGATATCATTCATCTGCGCTAAAGAAATCAGGCCCTTTCAAGAGACAACGCGGAAGGCCCTCTTTGAGATGTTACACAAAAATGACCATCGATAACTACAAGACGTTATCAGCACCGGAAAGATCTCAGGCGCCGCTGTATCAGAGTATCAGGGATGGCTTCGACACAGGGGAAATCAACGGACCCAGCAAGCTGCAGGGCACAAAGCGGCGCAAGAGATCTCCGGCGCCATCTGGAATAGGCTCCCTTGCTGTGTCTTGCGGCATCAAACCTGCATCATTTCGAAACACCACGAAGAGTACGAGAATGCGCGAGAGATTTGTCATCGATCCTGATCTACAAGGAAATAACAGAGCCAAGACTCCGACTACAGCTGTCGATGCACAGGTGATGCCAGAGTCTTCAGGACAGGCCACTCCGAATAATTCCCACCACACCGAGAGGCATACTGTCAGAGGGAATTTGGGAAGCCCAAGAGTGTTGCCATCCCTGCGCACCATAGAAGTATTACCAATGCGCAGAGTATCGGGCCACTGTTCCGATAACGTATTCATCTTATCTGATCTTGTTGAAGAAACCGATCACGCAAGATGCGCCACACTAGACTCGAACCGAGCGAGCACATTCTCTCGTGATGATTCTCACGTAGGCGCCTCGAGCATCTTGCGGAAAGCTTCAAGTAAAGCGCTGGTGGACGATGTGCTTCTCAACAAGCGGCTGGCAGAAACAGAGAGTACATCACCAACCGATACCACGAGTAAGATGAAGCCAGGCGCTGAACGCAAAACCTCCTTTGGCCCCGTGAGCACCGGGGAAACACTTGTCAACAGCGAAACTTCAGACGCTTCACTACTGGCTGGAACTGTGCTACAGGGAGGACCGGCTACGTGGGCTGTTGTATTCGCAGACCTCAGACCTCGTCCCGTCGGAACCATGTCCCGCGAGAACAGAGGTGTGGAAAGCCAACACTCGCCGTGCCTGGGTACGATTTAGCAGCATAATAGAGATGTGGTTATGCATGCGAATTTCAGGAGTGCGGAGGAAGTAGAAACATGCTTGATCATCGTGGTTGTGTACATAGCTTCCTCGCTGAGAGACTGTTGGGAGAATTAGCTTGATGGAGACGACCAAGATATATCAACAGCCACGCTTCTCACCCAATACAATGGGTATCATCTGATATAATACATACCAGGCTTTTCCGTAACCCTCCCGGTCCGTTAAAATGAAATGCTTGCATATGTAAACCACCTCAAACGCCGTGCGCCCACAAATCTGTAAGATTCCATCACAGGTTCCTAAGTCCGTAGTCGATCACTTCGCGCCCTTGCCCTTGGCTTCCGTTTCGCCAAGCTCACGGATGAAGACGCTGGCCTTGCCCTCAGCGCTGTAGTCCTCCATGCCTGTCTCGAAACCCGGGCAGACACCAACTGCAAGGTACTTGCCATCCTTGGAGAAAGCCAGGGCCGCAACACTATCGGGGAACTTCTGGTACTGCTTCATCCTGCGCTTGGCCTCGGCGTCCCACAAGGCGACCGTTCCATCACCGCCACCAGACGCGAAGGTGCCGTAGACAGGGTGGAACGTCATGGCGTTGACCGGGTACACGATATCACCCTCGCCATCAGGCGCAGCCGCGCGATGGCACTTGAAGGCGTACTTGCGAGCCTGAGACTCCGCCGAGTCCTCAAACCACTCAACGGCGACGCGACCCTCGATACTGCTGGTGGCGTAGCCGGCGTCGTTGGGCATGCATGAGATGGCGCGGGTGAGGAACTTGAGAGACGACTCGCGCTGCTGCCAGGGCTTGATGTCGTGGGGGCCTGGTTCTCCGAAGAGGGCGGGAATGTTGGACAGGTCGTAGATGTTGACGAGGCGCGCGGTCATGGCGACGACGACCTTTGAGGGGCTGGCTGCCAGGGCGTGAGGCTTCCCGGGTAGCTGGACGCTGATGTTCGTATCAGAAGGCGACTTCGCGTTGTGGATCTGGAGGGTGAGGTCCCAGGAGGCGGAGATGAGGAGAGCTGCGAGGTCTGATTAGACTACGTGTCTACAGATTGGCAGGGCGGTGACATCACTTACAGTGCTCCGGGCTGTAGACTACACAACGTGCAGGTGCGCTGTGCTGCGCAACGACTTGCTTTTCTTCTGTCTCGAGGTCGACCCTAGATTTAAAGCGTCAGTTTTGCTCAATGGCCAGAGGGAGCTTCTTAGGTTCCCGTACTTGTAGACGCAGTGATCTAGACACGCCGCGTAGGCCTCGTTGTCTGTCGCGCCAAACGTTACGTCGAGGACGGGCGCCCGGAACTCAATGGCTTTAATAAGTACGCCTGGCGCATCCTCGCTTCCGCTGTGTGTGTCGTAGAGGTAGATCTTCTTGTCCCAGCAGGACACCAGAAGCCTGGTAGGCGACTCGGGCGCATACGAAAGCGAGGAGATGGCGTCGCTAGGCGGTTGCGCCAGCTCGAATTGGGATGCTGTCGAAGTATCAGTGATTGGCCAATGTTATTGGAGTGGAATTCGAGGTCTAGGTCCTCCAAAAACTCACCAGGTGCCATTTTTGGGTTGTTGTTCTGTTGTTGAAGCTCTTACGGTGAAGTAGCTTTCGGCGCCTCTAACAACAAGCAGCTCTGGGTATACCTGGATGTTAGCTTCTGGGGTCTGTTTACCTGAACAATTTGGTTGGAGGGGCGCTCACGTGGCGATAAGCGAAGCAGAGCTTATCGGTCGAATCAGCACCGATTCTGCCAGGGACTATCGCCCCGAAAGCACCCCCCACCATTGTTCGGATTTCTGCGATTTGTGAACCGCAGTAGCAAAATTGTGACTCGATCGCCCAATCACCAACGTAACGCCGCTCAACCCCAAAAGTTGCTTTTCGACGTCGCCCCCGAGCAACCGATCCCACCGCAAGCGATATCGAGACCGACGAGTAGGCGGAATCTCCACCGAGCACAGAGGAAACAAGCTATTCAAAGACCGGAGAAACGTGTAAAAAGCCCGCGCGCCTTCTTTCGCACCCCGCCCCTCCTCCACACCTTTCGGCCGACCACCTTCAACAACACCACCTAACCGCCACCACCACCCTTCGTACTCGACGGCTTCGAGCACCAGTAGCCAAGATGGCGGAACCGAACTACAGTCACTTTCGATACTTCGAAAACAAGTACCCCGAGATCGATGAGTTCGTCATGGTCAACGTCAAGCAGGTTTGTGCCCCGCCAGCCCAACGCACACGGCGAGCCGAATCGACCAAACCCACCCGGTCGCCGTGGATAGGAAGCGTACAAGAGGGAGGCAACGTCCGGGTCTGACTGGTGATATAGATTGCCGAGATGGGTGCCTATGTCAAGCTTCTCGAGTACGACAACATTGACGGCATGATTCTGCTTTCCGAACTTTCGAGACGTCGTATCAGAAGTATCCAGAAGCTCATCCGTGTGGGCCGTAACGAGGTTGTCGTCGTCCTACGTGTCGACAAGGAGAAGGGTTATATCGATCTTTCCAAGCGTCGTGTGTCGCCAGAGGATATCATCAAGTGCGAGGAGCGGTACAACAAGGGCAAGATGGTCCACTCCATCATGCGCCACGTCGCCGAGAAGACCCTTACCCCGATCGAGCAGCTCTACGAGACCATCGCATGGCCCCTCAACAAGAAGTACGGCCATGCGATTGACGCCTTCAAGCTGTCTATCACGTGAGTTGGAGACTATCTGCAGTTATGGCAAGAGGAAACAAGAATACTGATGCGTAAGGATAGGAACGCCGAGGTCTGGAACGACGCCACCTTCCCCACCGAGGCCGTCTCCGAGGAGTTGAAGTCATATATCGCGAAGCGTCTCACCCCTCAACCCACAAAGGTCCGTGCCGACGTTGAGGTCACCTGCTTCGGATACGAGGGTATCGACGCCGTCAAGAACGCCCTGCGCACCGCCGAGGCGCGCAACGACGATCAGACCCAGGTCAAGGTCAGACTCGTGTCCCCCCCTCTTTACGTCCTGACCAGCACGTGCCTGGACAAGAACCTCGGTATTACCCGCCTCGAGGAGGCCATTGTCGAGATCCGCAACAGCATCGAGGCTGCTGGCGGTTCATTGGTGGTGAAGATGGAGCCCAAGGCCGTTACAGAGAGCGATGACGCCGAGCTGCAGGCTCTCATGGAGAAGAGAGAGCGCGAGAACGCCGAGGTCAGCGGTGACGAGAGTGTCTCCGAGAGCGACGACAACCCGGAGGTTTAGATTTTTTCTTTGGAGTCAACGTCATCACAACAAAAAAGGGGCGGCTGGTAGAATGAGCGTACTGGCAGGCTGGGAATCCAGAGTGATTCTAATGAGACGACCAAAAAAGAGTCCAAACATTTCAAAACTTATTTCCCCTGGCTGATTGTGAGTGAGCAACGGACTGATGCTAATAATGGACGTCTTTGTTATCATGAAGTTCCGCTAAACTTGCTACAAGATGGGGCACTCTACTATAACAGCGAGGGAACGAGAATGACCAATATAATCAACCAAATTGACAATGGCAGCTTTCCCTGCATGCAATTGACGGCTCGACGTAGAACCATTCTCAGCAATGGTTCTGTCGACAACGTTGTCCTTCGATGACCGTATCTTCAAAATACACTCATAGAACAATGCTTGAGTGCTTGCCATCTGGTCGGGACGAATGTTGATATTATTCTTGCGGTGAAAAGGCCGTTTGACGTCGTGCGTAGCAGAGGAAGCTATCTACTAACGGTGTGACTGGAGACTTACATGTGAGGCGAGATGGACGAGGGCAAGAGCGAGCGACAGTTCATCCTACCAGGTACCATGTCACCAAAACCTTCATCCGATAAAATTTCCCATCTGAATCCACACAGGAGGCCCCATATAGGTCCCTCCAATTCCATTCCAATCACCAGCCAGGAGGCGCCCGTCTAGGTCGACGGGTCAGGTCAAACTGGCTGGGTGGTGGAGTGGTTTATGGTCAACAATCCAAATCGCCAACCAGCCTACTCGATGACAGGCTAAGCGCATACGATTTCGAATCCCAGCCTGAGCACTAAAGTTTCCAGCATGAGCACCAAGATATGTAGCCCCTAAATCAGCACCGGGGGGAGGGGGGTGCGAACTCTTTTTTGGATCCGATTATGCTGCTTGTCGTTATGATTCTATCTTTGGACTCGCCTGTTTCCTCTCGTCTGCCGAGTGCCAAGAGCAACGGCCACCTGCCTGTATGGAGATATAGACGACTCGGAAGATGAAGCCTGGGCAAGTTGAGCAGAGGCAAGATCGCCCCATATAATCAGCACTGTTGGTCATCATACCTTCCTCTTTCAACTCGATTTTCCTACTCGTCACTTATCTTTGAGTCCTGACTCTTTGCCCTGGAAAATATCAGGAACTCTCTTGTAAAGGGAAACAATGATAATATGACGGGCGATCGCATTGTGTACGATCGATTTAAGCATGGAAGGCTTGTGACAACATTAGGTTGTTGTTGAGTCGTTGACAGCCTCAAGATCAGAACAATGAAGCCGATAAGATAAGAGATTAGATAAGAACATGAGATGATAGAGAGCTCGAAACCTTCCTCGCGACCATTCCACCTGACAACCGGAGAGTAGGCGCTGTTCCCAAGGCACAGCGCGGCAGACCTCCGCGACAACCTGAGAATATTCTGCGCCCATGGCTTCCCGTTCGCTATGGGCGCGCGCACGAGGGAGCTTCCTCGGTGACACCACGCTCCGCCTGCTCGGGCTTGCGACCTGGATCCCGGTCGTGATCACTTTCAACGACCATGTCGCGACCATCACGAGCATCAGCGGCGGCTCCATGTACCCCTACTACAACGAGGATCGCAATACGACGATGGCAAACGACATGGTTCTCAATTGGAGGTGGAAACCCTCCTACGGGCTGCAGAGAGGCATGATTGTCACGTTTAGGTGCGTTTTCACTGGCCCTCCGTTACCCCCTCTATCAATGTTGAAAAGCTGGGCGGCGAGCTAACCTTTTTTGCTTGCTTTTTGCAGGAGCCCTTTTCATCCCGAGACTGTAGCGATCAAGAGAGTCGTCGCGCTGGAAGGCGAATATGTCACGACGAGAGCACCTTATCCGGAGAGAGTGGTCAGGGTACCGCAGGGCCATATTTGGGTGGAGGGAGATGGGCCGCAGGATCAGACGCTGGACAGCAATACGTACGGTCCTATATCTATGGCGTTGGTGACGGGGAAATGCGTGTGGAACATTTGGCCTTGGCGCAAGTTTGGCCGCGTGAGATGGGAAGAACACAAATTCAAGGATAGATACTAAAGTGGGAATGGCTTCGTGTACGAATTAGCATGTGGGCGGGATATCTGTAAGGAAACCCTCGATTCGGGCTGCAAGGTCTTTAAAGTTTACGTATACTATGAAGCAGCCAATGACTGTACTTTCATCTTCAACTCCCGCTTGAGTTTTGACGATTCATTCAACTGGCCTCTTAAGTCCGAGTAACCTTCAAGTCCCGCTATCTTTGGAGCGGCGCGGGCTGTCCCGCGTTGCAGCTCGGAGCTCTCGGGACCGGGCTTTCAGCTCAGGGCCGTATGTAGGTCCGGCTGATTCAGTCGACACTTCCAGCTGATGAAAGAGACGGGAGCTCACCCGACGGTGACGCAGCGGGAGTGCAGCATTGCATGTGGTCTGTGCACCGCCAACAAAAATTCCAGAGTCGCTGGAACCCTGCATGAAATTTCGATATCATTATCTGCAGCTGCTGCTCCTCCTCGCCGCCGCCAAGTTTTCGCCTGCGCCAATTAACCCACGCGACAATCAACGACGAGGAGGCCTCTCCTTCAAATTCCCCTCGAAAACCCCTACACTGCGTTGTTGTTCCTGTCGTTCCGCAGCGGGAACCCAACCGTATCAACGCCGAATCTCTCTTCCCCCCTTCGACATCGAAACCGACCGACGTCAGCATTTCAGGATCGAGAGGGACCGAACCCTTGACGCAGACCAGAGAGTGCCTGGTCAATCTACGACAGGCACCACTCGCAAATGTCCGCCGCTGATCGCATCGTCAGCTACCTAGCTCCTGCCGACAACAACACGCAAACGATTCAGGGGGGTATTTCGGCTGCGACTCCGGCGGCGGCGGCCTCGTTCGAGGAGGATAGATATGCGGTACAGACGGGAGGACTTTTGCCGGATATCAGAACAGTCGGACAATCATTCAGAGAGAAGGACATGAGTCTTCAAGATGACTCTTTCGAAGAGGAGGGCCGCCCGCCTTACCTCCACGCCATGATTGCTGGAGGTGTAGGAGGTTCGACGGGCGACATGCTCATGCACTCCCTGGACACGGTCAAGACGCGGCAACAGGGCGACCCGCACATCCCGCCAAAATACACGTCTCTGGGCTCATCCTATTACACAATATTGCGGCAAGAGGGCATCCGACGAGGTCTTTATGGCGGATGGATACCGGCTTTGGGTGGTTCCCTTCCGGGCACGATGATGTTCTTTGGGACGTACGAATGGAGCAAACGATTTCTCATCGACCATGGTGTGCAACAGCACCTGGCCTATCTCACAGCTGGTTCGTTGATACTTGCGCTCTGCTCTCGAGAGGCGTACACTGACTGACTGTTATCAAGGCTTTCTCGGAGACTTGGCTGGCTCCATCGTTTACGTTCCATCCGAGGTGTTGAAGACCCGCTTGCAGTTGCAAGGACGCTACAACAACCCCTATTTCAAGTCGGGATACAACTATAGAGGCACCGTTGATGCGGCGCGGACGATTGTCCGTCATGAAGGACCGGCTGCGCTCTTTCACGGTTACCAAGCAACACTGGCTCGTGACCTCCCATTTTCGGCACTTCAGTTTATGTTCTGGGAGCAGTTCCACGCCTGGGCGCGCACCTATAAGCAGAGCAGAGATGTCGGTGTGCCGCTGGAGCTCCTTACCGGTGGTCTTGCCGGCAGCTTGGCCGGTATCATGACATGTCCTTTGGACGTCGTCAAGACGCGTTTACAGACGCAGGTACACCCTGATCTTTTGCCTAAGGAAGCGAAGCCGGTAGCCAAGGGCGCCGCACCCGCCTCCACGTCAAAATCCCAGACGCGCAATATCTCAACGTCGTCACCCTCGACGCATACCCCGCGACCAGGCGCGGTCAACTTGCAGACTTCGTCCGTTATCGAAGGTCTCAAGGTCATTTACCAGACGGAGGGTATCAGCGGATGGTTCAGGGGCGTGGGTCCCCGTGGCGTCTGGACTTTTATTCAGAGCGGCACCATGCTGTTCTTGTATCAACGCATTCTCAAGTCATTAGAGACTTGGGATCCACCAGTGGAAGAGCAGGAGCGCGCCATCTAAAGGAGGGGTTGGAGGTAGGGGCTGGAATGGGTGATACCAGGGTTGGATGGAGAAACAAAAAAGGCATTGTACAAACAACCCCATCTGTACACTTTGTAAGGATAAACATGGGACTGGCGTTTGACGGCATAGTAGAGGGACATGGTGTCCGATAGAGAGCTGATAGAGCGAAAGACAAGTCTCACTTCAAGTGCTGATCTGATTTACAAAGAGCTGAAGTCAACGCATGCGATGTGGCTTGAAGTCGGTGTTCTCAAAGAGACTGAACCATCACAAGGCCTATTTGAGGCAATTGTCGTAGGTATTGTGATAGGATACCTAGCTAGCTGAGGTATATCTCAAAGCGAACGAGCTCTCGAGTGAAAGACATGTGAGAGAGGCTGCAATGAAGTAAGGTTTCCGGGTTGGTTCCCTGGGATGACCGAGCTCCAGTTGTCAAATACAACAACCTGCAGTACCTTAAGGTACCTACCTGCCTGCCCCGCCAGGTTCTAGCCCGAGTACCTGTGTAATCAATGGAGGGACTAGACCCCTGGCTACCCGTTGAGACCCCCTGTGTGACGACAGACCGGGCTTCCATGACTGACGCGGGGTGTGCTGAAGCTTCCCTGGCCCAGCTTCCAAAATTTCGACCTTTGAAACACGCGCCTCGCGACAGGAACCAAGACCTCAGTATTCTCCCATTGTTCACGACTCCTCCACCCACCACACCACCGATCCAACCAAGCAACCGCTTTCACAGCTTGAATACACAACGAAACTCACGTTCGAATTGAAAGGACGTTCCGATGGCCTCCGACTCAGGCACACCCCCTCCTCCACGGGAGCCGACCCCGGGCGGCTCCCTTCCTTCTTCGACTGCAATCCCCTTGAAGAGGCCAGCTCTCGAAGAAGATTTCACTCCTTCTGTACCTTCGCCACTCAACCCTGACGTCAGATCTACACCAAGACCATTAGGCGTCGACGAGATGCCAGCAAAGCGCAACAAGAAGGAGTCGCTGAAGAAGCGCGAGTCCAAGGGTGCCTTTGGCGGCGACAGCAACCGTGGCACGCCGGACCCCAAGCATCGCGAACCTAAGCAGTCCGACTACAGTCCGATGCGCTACAAGCTGGCGCCTCCTAAGCCTTCCGACTTTGAACCTGCTCGCGGAGCCAGCTTCACCCATCACCATGACGTCCCTGCTTTGGACGGAACCGAGATCCGGTTCTACGAGACGTCGGAGCAGTGAGTTTACGGACCAGCTTTATGCGCCTGACTGAAAATTCTAACGATGCTGAAGTGTTCACAACAAGAAAAGCTACCACTACACTCACTGCATAGCGGACCCCGGGTTCCCCTCGGCACTATACTACCGCGGTACCGAGGCAGAGCCCACGGGACCTCATCTCAGCTTCGAGGACAGCGCAACTCATCTGTTCTTTGACCGGACGGGCCTCCATATTACTACGAACAAGGGTTTCCGCATGACGCGTGCGAATGTGGCAATCCGAGAGGGACGGTTTTACTGGGAGACCAAGATTACAAGAGGAATTGTCGACAAGACGAGCGGAGATGAGAAGCACGAATCGCATGGCCATGTGCGCATGGGTTTCGCGAGAAGAGAGGCGACTCTGGATGCCCCGGTCGGATTTGATGCATACAGCTACGGTGTGCGCGACGTGGGCGGCGAGAAGGTGTACATGTCACGACCCAAGGCCTTCTTCCCCGAGGGAGAGGGCATCCGGGAGGGCGATGTCATCGGCCTGGAGATTCAGCTACCCTCGGAACGATTGCAGCGCAAGGTCCTGGCTGGTCAGTACAACCCGGCGGTTGATACCGGCTTGGACGATGACAGCACAAACTTTGATGCGCCGAATATCGTCCGCGATCGTATCCCGATTCGCTTCAAGTCACACATCTACTTTGAAAAGATTGACTACCACACAACCAAGGAGCTCGAGGACCTCATGAACCCCTCGCCCGTGTCCTCTGGCCCCGCCAACTCGGTCGAAGCGCCCAACCCTAACCACGCCGTTCCCGCCCTCCGTACGCTTCCCGGATCCTTCATCAAGGTGTACAAGAATGGTGTGCTGATGGGCACCCCATTCACTGACCTCCTGGCCTTCCTGCCCCCGGCCTCCAAGCCGCAAGGCCAAATCGGCGCTCGCGAGGGCCTCGACAACGGCATGCTCGGCTACTATCCCGCCGTGAGCGTCTTCAGAGGCGGTGCTGCCGAGGTCAACTTTGGTCCCGACTTTTGGTTCCCGCCACCCGGGCTTGAAGACGGTCCCGACGACAATGAGGTCTCGATGATCGATGCCGGACAAGAAGAGTCCAAGAAGCCGGCGCCGTTGTCGTCGTCGTCGTCCGCGTACCCTGGTTTGGATCAGGTGCGGCCCGTCTCGGAGCGGTACACGGAGCAAATTGTTGAGGATATCGTTTATGACATCATTGACGAAGTCGACTTCTGGATCCAGGATGGCTGCAAGGTCATTGATCGTTTCGGCGGCCAGGGCGAGAAGGCTGGCCAGACGGGCAGTCTTGCGGCCGGTGGACGTGAGGAGATTAAGGAGTTGGTCCAGGATGACTGAAGTGGATGCGCCCCGATGGAGGAGGCAATGTTGAGAGACACAGTAGGCGATTCTTATTTTTTTCGCTCCGGAAGATACCCCAGACAGACTCTTTGGTATTACAAAGGTCTTTGCGCATTCCAATTCATAGCTGTCATTATACTATCAAGGGGGGCGAGGGACGTTTAGTGAGATCTTTGTCCCTCTCTACATACAGGCCTCTAAAGTTTTCCGGAGGAGATAGTTGAACTCGTTAAAAGGAGTCTTGGGCAGATTACAAAAAAACGAGAATGAGTGTATGTCATCCTCACATCCTTGGGGTTCTCATCCTGTGCCTGTCCCATTTCATACGTCATTTCCAATCGTTCGTCGCAAAGTGAAGGAGACGCAAGCCATAAGGACATTAAAAAGAAGAATCATGAAACAAAAAGAGGTTGGTCAACTTCCAGAGCACGCGGCCACCCTTTCTTACTTCCTCGTCGACCTTCGTCTCGGAGAATCGGGGCCAGGCGACGCCCGTCGCTGAGGCGTCGTCCTTCCGGAACTGTGTCGTCCGCTCCGCCGGCTACGTTCGCTGCGCTGGCTGCGTGGGCGATCTGATCGCACCGGCTCGGTGCGTGAGCGCGAAGGGCCCGCCATAAGGGCCGGGTCATCGGGGAGTTCCTCGATGCGGCCGGTGCCGTCGATGATCTCGGGCGCATTTTCGCGCTTGATGCGTTCTTCGCGGCCGCGCTTGTGGCAGTACCACAGGACGAAGAGGAGGACTTTTAAGGGATAATCATATTAGTAACGTATTCGTGAAACTAGAGCATGGGGCGAGGGGTTAAAGACTTACGGAATATAGAAACGCTCCAAATGACGTTTGCGCCGATAAACGCCGGCCAGCGCAGCTTGAGCGCGTTGACAATGGCCTTGAGCATGCCCACGACGGCACCCGGTTTGGTGACGAGGTCCGCGAAGCTAGCGGGCGTGAACATCTTCTTCGCGGCGCCCTTGATGCCTTCCTCGGCGGCGAATTCGGCGTGGTTGATGCCCTGGGCCTTCGCGGCGGCCGCGAGGACCTCGGGCCCCAGGCTGGCGGTGAACTTGTCCGGCAGCTGGGTGACGAGCTTCTTCATGCTATTGGGGAGTTTGTCAAACGTCTTTGCGAGGGTGCCGTCGCGGTCCTCGACGAGGGCTTTGAGGTCGTCTGCGGCGGTGGGCACGCCGTTGACGAGGTCTTTCAGGACGAGGGTGAATTTGGAGACGAGCTCGGAGGATTCTGCGGATAGGGGCACGGCTTTGTTGTTGCGCGCTGAGAGGTTGAGGTCGTCTAGGACACGGGAGAGGTCATCTTCCTCGCGGGCGGCTTCTTTGGGTGGTATGTTTGCCTTTGTTGGAGCGAGTTGCTTGTCCTTGTCTGTTCCCTTGGCTTTGTTGAAGAGGAAGGCGATTTTGCTGGGGATTTTGGAAGCGCCCGACGCGGCGGCGTCTTTGATGTCTACTGCTACTGTCGCGGCCTTCTTAGGCGTCTGCTTTTCGGTAGCGGCGGTGCGCCGGGACTCGTCAGAGTCTTCCCAGGTGTACTCTGGCGTCTTGCTGCGGGGGGGCAGAGTGGGCCGGACGCTCTCATCGTCCGAGTCAACGTCGTTTGCGTCGGCGAGGATGCGTCTAAAGAAGGCCTCATCTTTGCGGTTGAGGAGGGGCGCGGGGCCCCCGCCTCCTGTTGCTGCGCTTGCTGTCGTTGAGACGGACTGCGAGCTCGTCTGACGTCGAGTTGGCGATGGTCGCGAATCTGGGTGAAGCTTGCCTGCTGCTGATGATGGTGCTGGCGATCCGCTATTGTGTTCGCGCTCGCCCTCTGCTGCCTCCTTCTCCGTCTTGTACTTTTTGAACTTCTTGTAGCTCAGATATTCCAACATCTTGGGTGATGTAGCTGAGGTTTCTCTGGCGAGAAACCAACAGGGTCCAAGGTGGGCGTACTAGTTGATACAAAGTCGTGATCTGGCTGTCAAAGAATCACGGCAAGAAAAGTATAGTTTCCTGTAGAGGTAGACGCAAGGGCGTTGTAATGAGGCGGTCGGAACCGGTTTATTTTATTGCAACGGCCAAGCGCTTGTTCTGAATCACATGCGGTCTGGGTCTGGGCCAGGGCCCTGCACTCTATCATGCGGCGTCATGTCGTGCAAGCTCATGTGTTGGATTGGCTGAGCGGGCAAGCTGGGGTAGCTTGCACAGCCACATGTGATGTCACCCTTGGAGCGGCCTCCGATGTGGCGGTGCAATTGGGCAAGAGTGGGGACCCGGGTCCAGCTGCCGGCTCGCTTAAGAGCGGTTGTTTGAGGTTGCGCCGGAGGCATCCAATGGAAGAGCATGAATGATCACCAGTTCATATGTCGCCTCTTTTGTTGGGGCTGATATGGAGAAATGAAGAACCTTTAAGAGCATTGCGGCTCATCGAGTCTCATTTGACAGCTGTCTTGGACAATATGTAGGTATGCTATTGGTAAATATTGAGTGGTTCGGCTGAGTTAGCCGCCATCATGGGGTATCTTTCGTGAAAACTGCCCTTCGCATCCTAGGGGTAGAGCTTTCACGTCTTTCTCTATGCTTCATCATGCCTCATCCTCGCCTTCTGCTTCTTCTTCTTCTTCTTCTTCTTCTTCTTCTTCCTCCTCACCGTTTGCGTGTATGGTTTCGTCTGCGACATTGCTCTTCCTGCCTCCTCCACTCCTCCGGCGGCCCCTTTGGTACGCCTCTGTGCTAGTCATGGCCTGCTCCCCCACATAATGTTCCCCGTCCCAGTCCTTTGAGCACTTGGGGCATTTGTGACTCCGCTGAGTGCGCCAGTACCCTTCTTGGCATGTGTTGTGCAGGCGCGCGTTGCAGTCTCGTTCCGCGCACCTTTGTCCGACTGTAACGATCTCCCTGCACGCCTCGCAGAACTTGATGCGCTGCCAGTCCTGCGCTGCCGCGTCGGGATCGTTGAACGAGTCAATCAGCCATGCCCTGAGCTCGAGCAGCGCTCGCGGGCTGAGGCTGTAGAAACCGTCCTTGGACTTCTCCAGCCAGCCCTGGTACACCAGGCTCGCTAGCATGTCTTCCACTTCGCTGTGCTTAAGTCCCTTGTCTGAGGAAGATTGTGTTTGCGTGGGCTCTCCGTTCTCGTCATTATTGTTGTTATTGTTCTGTCGTGGAGGGCGGGCCAACTTAATAGCCTGCATCTCCGTAATGCACATGAGCTCCATGCGCGGGGAGTTGTACGTCTCGAACATGGCGTCTAATAGCCTTTTTGTGAAGGCGATCTGCTCGGCGTTGTATGTGGTCGCGAGTTGTGTCATGAGATCGGAGGCTGTGTTCACGAGAGCGTAGATGCGCTTCTTGGTGACTTGATGAATTGCGCTTCGTACTTCGTAGTCGAAGAATGAGACGCCTTCGGCTGCGGCTTGCAGATAGGAGTCAAAGTCCTCCATCGTGACCTGTTCGGGGGCGACTGGCTCGCCATCTTGGGCTTCAACGGTGAAGATACCGGCTAGGATAGGTTGTGCGTCTTCGTAGGTGAGGGTGCCCCGAGCCAGGAAGGCTTGGAGGAAGGCACGGTTGCCATCATTGTAGTGTTCTCGGACGATGTTCATTTCGGCGTGGTAAGGCTTAAGACTGAATCGTGTATCCGGGGGGGTTGATAGAATGTCATAACGGCCGTAGTTGGATTGTACTAGAGGCTTTTGCGAGTCGGTCAGGTTTTCGCGGGGGAAGCCTCTTAACGCGTCTTGGACGCGCCTCGCTGGCGAGGAATTAATTGAAAGCCCAGAGCTTCTGGGGACCCCACCGTGCCTTCCACCAAAGCGGGGCCGTATTGTAAAGTGGGACCATGGTTGAGCCACAAAGTGGCTGGAAAAAAAGACTGCGGCACTTCGCCGGAGAATTTCCATCTTCTTGGAATGAGATCTTCCTTTCCCAAATTGCATTGCGCATCGGCCAGCGGGCAGGGCCTCTCCGTGGCTCTGGGTCCATTCTGGACGGGATACTCGCTCCGAGTGGAGTTTTCAGATCCTTCAACCCCTGAACACCAACCTTCTTGCTGGGCAGCAGGCAGGAGAAGGGCATGGTGTGCATGGCTCACTTGAGCAGCAGCTGAAGTTCATTCCAGCGAACCTTGCTCTCTCTCAAGCTTACAAGACGCCACATGCCGACGACACGGCACTTTACTGTGACTGCCGATCATACTCACACCCTCCGGGCTCCCTCCAAGGTTCAGCTTTAATACAGTCTTGACGACCTCGCACTCGCTCTTTATTGGAGCCAGCTCACTCATCAGCACGTGGGAGTGGCCCGACCGTTACGCAGACTCGATATGCCTTAGATTCAAGATTGTGTCGCGCGGCAGACGTTCAGCAACCTTCCATCTAGCAGGAATGGCAGGACTGACACCACACGCCGTCGACCTTTCATCTCAACAATCTGCGCCTCCGCGACTGAACCTGCTTTTTGGTTTAGCACTAGGATTCAGCAGCTTGCCTTCTTGGGTCCAACACCCGAAGCCACGTCCGCCGCTCGGGCTAGATTGGGCAGTGGTTTAAGGGCCTTTCGTGTCCATTTCTGACTCAGGAGGAACAAGGTTAATACAAAACCACTAGCTCCAATCACCTTCATGGATCACCCTGTCCTCTTATGAGCCCAAGCACCGAGCACTCGGTAGGCGGCATGCTCCCCTGCCATCGAACTCAGCTCAACAATGAGATGATATGATGAGCATCGTATCGAACTGGTGGAAACTTTGACATGTTCGGACCTTCCAATTAGGGGGCGTTGTCTTCCAGAAGATAGAGAATGTGTTTTCAGCCATCGACTGACTTGAATTCGCCGTTGACAACAGCGCAGCCAATCCTAATGGCATCGCATTGCTGGAGGTTGCCATACGCAGTGTGTTGCCTCCCATCGGCCCGGTCGCCTCTGCCGGGTTGAGGCTGGTCCGGGAGACCCCTCCGCAACGTCCGTCCGTCCACACACCCTCAGTCGGCAACGAATCTTGCCTCGAGGACGCGCCTCCACTTACCAGACATGTTTCGAGCCATCGTTGCCTCAAACCCCAGCGACGAGTGTGGTTGGTCTCAATGAGGGAGGCGGAGAGTTCGGTCGAACTCGTACGTTGCCATGCCACTTAACCTCTAGCAGCCCTTAGTTTGACACTTGGTCGGCCTATGGACTGGTATTCCGCAGCAGTTGCGACGACGCTTGCGCACTGCTGCTTCGGCCTAACCCACGCAAACTAGTGATGTCTTCTATTAGACGGAGCGTGGCGTCCAACGTTTTCATCTCGGGTCGAGAAGCCACCGAGTCTGTGGTCGGCAGATGCCGCCAGAATCGCACCCAGAAGCCAGCTAGAATGCCGTCACAATGTCAATCTGTCTCGCCTTGACATAACCAAATGGACAGCCTCCGAAGCCATCCAACCTGCGTGTAATATTGTTCTGGAGATCGCCTTCGCACACTATCGTGTTTCAACCCTTATTATCCACCCTACAACAAGGTAAAACTCTTCATTACCATCCCGAGCGGCCCCGCCACCACCCCCTCGTAGGATCCCCAGCCAAGACATTTCTAGTCCGCTGGCAATACGCTGTAGGGGGGGGGGGGTTCTCAAGTCGGCCCAAACTCCCTTGCCTTGTCTCTGGAATGCTGGGAAGTCCCAACTCGTCATTTTACCGCCTGCGCCTGGGTAGCACACCTCATATTGTTGCGAGCACCTGAACAAGGTTCGTCGGCGCTTGTGTCCAAGCCGACCGATCTTGGGTTCCCTTTCCATTACTTTTCAGTCGGGTCCGGGGAGATAACCTTGCGTCGATCGCAGGGGGCGGATCGATCTCTGGGCCGCATGATAAACATGGCCATGCCGTTGCTTGCTCCCCAGTTCTTAATTTCTTCTTTCTCCTCGTCCCCCGTCACCTTGTTCCCTGCCCGTGGTCAACAGCTCCGTATTCATGTCTGGCCTACTGGGCCAACATCCAAGGGGGTGATATGGCCATTCAGCTGCCTCAAGAAGAGCTAGGCACAGCTACAGGAGTGCTCCTTTACTCCTTGTTCTGCCTAGCATGCAGTGTTCTCATGGCATGGCTGGTGTATGCCCATCGTGAAGGTCTCAGCTGTGAGTAGCTACGGTTGTGGAACCAAGAGTTAATTCAGACACTGACTTGCATCTTTCGTGAACAGACGTCGCCCTGGTATCATATTTCACTGGTTTGTCGACGGCTGCTTCTGTAGCCCAGCAGATTCACACAATTGTACGATGGAGAGACATCAAGCTTGCACAATTCAAGCATTCAAACGCCAATGTTGGCAATCCTGAGCTTGCCATCGCCGGCCAGTCAACTGGTCTTGACCTTGTACTTTTCTATATCCGTAAGATCCAGCTCGTCAACAAGTTCCAAGTCTGTCTCTGACAAGACCCCTACAGAGTTCTACAGCTACAATGTTGAAGCAGCCCTGACCTTCTTCTGGGCTGTTGCTCTTACTCAATCGATCTTCCAGTTGGAGCCCGTAAAGTCCACCCGCAAACGAGTTAACTACGTTGCAAAAGCCTTTGCTATTTTGCTGCCCGCGATCTTGATGGGGATCCTACGACTTGAGGCTGTCCAGAAACAGACAGTGCCCTTTTTGGTTTTGGCTGATGGTATCAGTAAGTCTCATTATTCAGCTATTCAAAGATTCCATCTAACGCTTTGCCCAGTGGGCTTCTGTCTGAGCGGCAGCGGAGTTCTGCTCATTGTCATCTTGGTCAAATATATTCACACGCGCCGAAACCTTCTTTCCTGGAATGTTCAATACGGGCAACGCTCCAATAGCACGAAAAGCAGCGACACGCTCGTCTTCGACAGCGGCAGCGAAACGCGCCGCCGAAGTATCTACGATCGGTGGCTTGTTGTACGATTCAGCATAGCTTTTGTTGCATTAGCGTGAGTACAGCCTCAACAAGCCTCAAAGTCTGTAGTTTGGGTCAACGAAGCTGACCGGGTGGTTCTTCCTTCGAAAAAGCATCTTCCAGGTGGTAACCATCATGTTTCAAGTTTCATCCGCAAAACAAAATTCTCGCGACTCTTTGAGCGAGAGCCCGGACCTCAGCACGGAACGACTGCATCTAGACCTCATACTTTTTCTGCCCGGCGTGTCCGCTAGCCTGCTGACGTTTGTCGTTTTTGGCACGACTAAGACGTTTCGAGACTACCTGGTGGCACGGCTCGTTCCGAGGCGGCTCCGCGAGAGGAATAGTAGGAGGATGAGCAGCAACCACCACCACCAGCGACGCAACACCCGCACACGAATGTCGCAAGCGTTTTCTTCGAGGATGGGGATGGGGAGGAGGAGCTTGACGTATCCGCCACGGATCTCTTTGACGCCGTACGTTTCGGACGATGCCGGCTTATACACGCCTACGGCCAATGGGAATGGGATTCAGCTGAGGGAGCTGAATATTGACGGCTCGAGAAAGGTCGCCGAGGACGACCGATGGCCGCTTGTTGGGTCTGATGCGTCTGATACGTCTGATGGGCCCGCGAAACCTGTGAATGTGTATTTGTACCCGAAGCAATAGTTTTACGAGTTATGATCGAAATGATACCACTTGGGCTCAGGGCCCTTATTGATTCACTTTTTGCTAGATTCTGTGGACTTGGTGTGCGGGTAAATAGGACGAGTCGGGGTCTCGCCAACCCCCTCACGAGCAGATGAAGTAACCCTGATGACTGCCCGGCGGTGCGGGGCTTGAACCTTCGCGTCCCAAATCATGAACATCTGGGGGTGCCTAGATCTGGGGTAAGAGAGGGCAGAGACATCATCGACGATCAGAGTCACAAATCGCCAGCCGTTCTGCTCAAGCACAACGCCGCATTCGATACAGGCTCCCCAGCCACAGTTACACAATGACATGACAAATCTCTCAGTGTCTTATATGACACGGAGATCCAAAGGACCGTCACGACACACACACACATTAGGGGGATTAAACTACGATCTAGCGGCCAAGCCATGCCTTAGAAAGAAAATAGTCCAATCCAACCCCCTTCCATACCGTATATCTTGAGGGGGCCTTGGCGATTGTGCAGAGCCAGCCAGCCGTTGGCCAGAACAGTCGATTTTCTCACGAGTCAAGAATCCCATCATTTTCTAAAGATACCGCTGCTGCTGCCGCCGCCTTCCACATTCAGTCATTGTGCGCGCTTGTGTGTGGCATGTGTAAGCTTTTCAGAAATTACCCGGAAACCCTATGTGAATAAAGGTGGTGGTGGGTGTCACGGTCCTTGACCCAGATCTCTGGATTTGTTCCGAAGTGGCTGTCAGGTTAGAGGGATGCCGCTGCGAGTCAGAATAAGCTTCCTTGAAACTCCCTTGATTCGGTAGTTTCTTTGATGAGAGACATTTACATCGTTGCGGTGATTTGAAGTCTGAGAAGTACCGAAGAATGGGGGATGTCTGACTTCAATTCTGATGTCGATGATTTGACTGTTATCGATGCTGTCTTCCCGATCAGTGCCACTACTGCTGTTAAAGCTGCACAAAGCCTCTTCACAACGTTGCCTGTGAGTGATTCCGATGTGTATATCTTAAGATGCTTTTACTTCTCAGGCTGAGCAACTAAACTCAGGTACGGAAGCTGCTCCTGTACAGAACAAACTCAACTTCTTCGCCCGAAAACTCCCTTTGGCCGAGCGATTATGCACTTTGGGTTTTCAAGACCTGGCTACTTGAACACCCGCAAGAACCGTTTGTATAATGGCCAGTACAATACCAGCACCTCCTACCCACAGGACTGCACAAAAAGTATACCACTGCAGGGGATTCCTGAGATCCCTCCAAAGATCCGTCAACCGGCGAGACTTCTGGCGCAGGCTGAACCTCTGGAGATTGACCAAGTGATAGCTCAGCCGTGGAAAATCGCTCTGGGCGCTGTAGACGTCGCTTTCCAAGAGCGTCGTCTCCTTCTCAAAGTCTCTACACCCCACGGGCCAGATGTTGCGCGGCAATTTGTCGACGTCCCTCTTCGGGTGTCAAAGAGTACGTAGTAGGCTGTCGAACGGCTGGCCACTTTTTTCCAGCTTGTCGAGATCCGACCTGATGATCTTCCTCGACCGAGCGCTCTGTCCGAAGAGGAGGCGGTCAGAGACCAAAACCTCTTGTTCCAAAGTGACGTAGTTCTGGTACCGGTTCTCCGTGGAAGTCGGCATGAAGCCTTCGTTGATCCTGCCAACAACGTTGTTAGAACGGCTATTAGGAGGTTGTATCCATGAAAGTGTGTTTACCTGACGAGAATAGGAAGTGTCTCTTTTCCCTCCTTTCGCAGGGCAGACAAAACGCAGAATGTCGGGAATTGAAAGATGGAAAGACGTCGGCTGACCGTGTCGAACATGAGATGTTCACTTAGCGTGTCTACCCACTGGATTCTAACCCGCCCGAATAGCAGAACCTCAAAATTCAGACTGCCTTCGTATAGATTATTATTTTCCCCAACCAAAGTATCCATGTCTGGAGGCTGGTCATCCCAAGCGTTGCGTCTGAATAACTCAAATACTCGTTTGATCGGCCGCTTTGCCTCCCTCGGGCTCTGCTTGATAGTCCGACTGCTTATACTTGGGCCCTCAGTCAAGCTTGGAAACTTACATGCGAGTGAAGCCTGGTTGCCGGGAGTTTCCAAATCCAGCGATGGCTGAACTGTCAGGGCCAACCAGCACATTGCAGCGAATACAGCCGTCGATATATGAGAGTCCCCAGCATCTCTCACATTTCCGTGTGAGGATACAATGTGATTTCCCAGCTCCTCTATACTAGCGTTTTTGTCTGCCGACTTCAAAGCAGCTACTACCTAGTACATAAACTTCCAATAGCATTTTGTTTCTCCTGCCACTGTGTCGAGAGACGACGACCACAAAGGTATGGAGTCTGAGCCTAATAGTGGTGGGAACTGGGATTCAATGTAGTCGCAGTACGCATGGATTCTCGGAAATTTGTCAATGTCTTTCTTTGGAAGACAGAAGGTGGCCTTCAATGTCTTCATACGATTTGTGAAAGAGGGCGATGTTTCTTATTATGGAAGCTCTTGGCTTTGCATCTCCAGGTCAACCTCTGTCCTCGGCTTAGGTAGTGGTAACATCGAACGGAGAGTTGAAACTGTCCGCATATTTTCCCTATATTATATCAACATCCAACGCACCAGACAAGGCTCAGGAGCCAATGGAACACGAACATTGTGATCATGTTTGCAGTGTCCTCGATGAACATAGCCGAACAAAAACGTTGCTCGCTGCGGGAAAGGTATGGACTGGCCGATAATTGCGGGCTCGATTGTACTTTTATACACTATCAGACAGCAAAACAGAAAATCCAAGAACTGGTTTGTTTCCTTTTACTTATGAATAAATAACAGTCATGATTATTTGGCGGAGAGAAAAGACTAGGCTAGAGGAATGTGGTCCAGGTGTTGGGACAGAAACCACCTCTTGATGTGCCACAAATCAAATACCTTCTAGGCCATTGCATGGAAATGAGACCATGCCGCATTCAAGGCTCCAGGTCAGACAACATGCAGACGAGTGTGCCCTGAACCAGCGATAACTTTCTGTTCCATAGTCCTGTTCCATAGTCCTGTTCCATCTACAAGCTACATCGAACCAAGTCAACCAGCTTTCGCGACGGAGCTGTCTGAATTGTATGTTCATCTTGTACGGTATCTTTTGATGTAACAGACTCTAAATATGTATTAAAGAGGCTCATTTTGAGCGGCACTGGGCGTCTGCTTCTACGTTGGGAGCCGACCGTATGGAACCAAATGATCGTCGGACAATCAGAAGTTTCAGATATCTGGACGACGTCAACGACAACGTTCTTGCGGAGCTAGATGATAAACTACCGGATTCTGCTGGCCAGGACTTAGATATGCTCCAGCCGCGACTGATGAACCTCAAGGGCTTCAGTAATTTCTTCTCCACGAGACTGGGCCCTAAGCTCGACCCAAAGGCTCTTTGGGGTCTGATCGGGCTTGTTCTAACGGCAAGCCAGAATGTTTTAGTCGTGGCGGAGCTAGATTGGGCTGACAAGATCTCAGATTGTCCTGCCTCACGAAGCAGCAATGAAACGAATCGGTCAAATGCTCAGCAAGCTGGGCTACTCTTGTGGAGACTTTCAACTACATGCACGTCAGAGTTCCAATCTCTCGACAGGAGAAAAGGAGGCATGCTTCGAGATCCTTGTATTGATGACCAGGTTTCTTTTGGATGTTGTTAGGTTTCTACGGGAAGCTGGAGATATTATCAACCTCTCCTACGGCCGTGGTATGATCTACAAACCCCAGTAATGGTTGTGATTGTTAATTCATCGCAGGCTACGCGCAAGAGTCGTGGGTTGAACTGACGGCCACGTACGACAGAGCTCAGACCTATATTAACGAGCGGTTGAATCGCATCAAAAAGATGGCAAAGTTTGGGAAGAGACAGGCCGCCCAGTTATCATTCCTTTCCCGCTCGCCTCGTTCCTTCGTTGACAGTGCCAAGTTGCCATGCTTAGTTCTACCACCTGCCAGTACGAATCGATTCTTCAACCGTGACGAAGTCATCGAGGAGGTAGACAACCAGTTTGAGGAGCAAAAGAAAGAAGGTCTGCGGTCGCTCGCACTCTATGGCATGGGCGGCGTGGGCAAGGGTCAAGAGTTATGTCGCTTTGAAGTACATTGAGAAGAAGAAGGCAGAAAAGGGGCTACGTGTCATCTTCTGGATCCGTGCGGAGACTTCGTTCTCGATCCAGGAGAGCTTCGCCGACGATGCTCTTAGGCTAGAACTCAACGGGGCTGGGAAAACCTTGCATGATGAGAATCGACTACTTGTAAAGAGATGGCTACAGAAAACGGGTCAGTCGGCAAAACACCTTGGCCCTTGGGGGTTTGCTGACGAGAACAGAATGCAAATGGTTACTGGTGTACGATAATGTGGAGGATTTCGGTCTCCTGCGGGCTAATTGGCCCTCGCCTGGGAGTCAGGGGTTGGCACTTATTACGACACGGAATCACTCGCTAGCTTTGAACCCAGCTAACGGAGATCTCGAGGTTCTCCCATGGGACACAGCGAATGGTACCAAGTTCCTCCTACACCTGCTGGACGGTCACATCAGTACAGATCTTCTAGCAAGCGAAGCCAAGTCGGCGTACAGTCTGGCCGAAAGACTCAGTGGCCATGCGCTGGCAATTTCGAACATGAGCGGACTCATTCATCGTCGGTCCTGGAACATCTCCGAGCTTCTCGACAAATACGGAAGTAGTTTGAACTTCAATAACGGCTTGGAGGCAATCTGGGGAGTTTTCTTCAAAAAATCTGAAGCCTAACAGCGCAACTTTGCTGGCTGCCTTCAGCCACTGCGCTCCTGACAGCATTCCGCATTCGCTCGTTGACTTGAAGGAAGCCGTGGACCTCTTCGGCAGCTTACTCTGGTTACTAGATGTGGATAGATAACCACGCCCCGGTCAATTGCAAGTATTATGGTCGCTGACAACCTGCCTGGTAGATTTCACGATGCGATGGAAGAGCTCTTGACTCTGGCACTCGTTAAAAGAGACAGAAAGTGTGGGACGTACTCCACCCATCGGCTCATCCAGACTCATTTTCTACGTTACATGACGCCAGAGAACCGGCAAAAGTCGTTCATAGAGGCATCGCATCTAATGGAAAACGTTTTCACAAAAAGACCCGACGGCAAGATAGCAACGATGTGCAACATGTGGGAGCAATGTCAGCTGTGGGTACAGCACTTATTGTATTGCAGCTCAAAAATTGTTTCAGGCTGGAAAAGAGGCGCGATCCTGGTTTCTACGCTTGCACGAAGACCTGTGTAATGTGGGCTCAATGTGGACGGTTTGCATACTTCTATCTAGAATACCATTAATGCTAGCTGAAATTTCCTCTAGATTTCTATTGGAGCAACAAACCTTTCCCGAGCTTGAGGACCCCGTCGAGGTGGGCAAACTGGCTTTGGCAACTCTGAGCTGTACAACCTTACCTCGCCGGAAACGTATATTGCACAAATGTGGGCACGTCGAGGTCGTTACTGTTTGGCGATAGAAGTGATGGTGAGCGCACGCAACAATGAAGTTGACGGCCCCCCAGGAAGATCACCAAAACTCGAGCTGCATGGCGAACAACATATTTTGCTCTTACTCCTTCCTGGGCGAGTATGAGGCCGCTCTGGAATGGCAGGAAATCAGTAGGGTGTGCTGGGAGCAGTGGGTCAAGTCTGAGAACGTTGAATCACATTGGCATCCGAACCAAAGATACGGTCAGGGAAGAACTTTGGCGTACATGAAGAAGTACGACGAAGCTAGAGGGCACATAGACGAGTCTCTAGAAGACATAATGACAAGCAAGCCGGTCATTTGGGGAACGGCAGGAGAATGAGTTTCGAGGCCCCGGGAGTGAACCTAATCTCAATGGTTTCGGACAGCTCCGACTGACGCTTCGGTGGTTTGCTCAGGTGCCAGTTCTCTCGTGCTAGACTAGCCATGTTTGAAGGAGACTTCAAGCTTGCTGAGCTCTTGTTCCAGAAGGTACAGAGCATATGGCTCATGAGGAATAGTTCCAGAACGTCAGACTTCTACGCGGCTACAATCTACCGCATGGGATGTTGCGCGTTACTCGAAGGAGAAGTGGAACGAGCTGTGTAAGTATAGATTGGGAGAGATAAAGTAGATATCTTGCCTTTACTAACACGGCACAGGAAATATCTCCAAGATGCGATGGCATTTGCAACATTGCGAAAGGACTTACAGGTGGGAGAGCATGCCCACAGTATCTATTAGCTCTCAGAGGCTCTCTATCAGATGCCTGGTCGTGAATTGGAAGCGGACCGGCTGCTCAAAGAAGCCGAGAAGCTCTACTGGAAGCGTGTCGAAAAGCCAAAAGCTGTTTCCGAGGAGGACCACGCAGAATACGAAGTACCACAAATGCATCCGCAAGAGGAAGATCACGACTCTTTGGTTTACATCTTATGGCGCTGAATATTGGAGGGAAATTTCATAGCTCAACTGGTATTAGATCCGACTCTGGTGTTGAGAACCGAAGACACGACCAGGAATGCTGCCCTCGAACAATCATTCAATGACACTCCAAATGTCCATTTCATTCCCTGCTGCCCGTGGCTCAATGGCATTCATGGCTTCGTTGGCGGGCTTGTGATGAGTAGTTCGGTGAATTGGCAAAAACCACGGCAATTGATGTAGATCAACGTGTCGCCTAGCTGGACGAAGCGAGATCATGGGTCTTGACAAATACAAAGATTCTCAGCGTGCCTTTTCGAGGGAACGACGAGTACATGCCTAGGAGAAGTTGAGTGGCGTAAGTAAGGTGAATGTAATCCTCCGTGGTCGTGTCCTTTCCCGAAGGAGGGAGGTTGGATTAGGCGAGGGGACCCATCGCGGTACCTTCAGCAAGGGGTGGATCCGCTGACTAAGGCATCAGGCGCCGTGCACGTTCACCTCCGAGCTCCATGAACATTCAACCTCTTTCAACTTCGAATTGCTCAACCTCACGACAAACAAATACTTGCAACGAACAGTGGATAATTGCGCATTGATCGTACCTGGCTAACTCCGAATATTTCTTGTCGCCATACTGGATTCGAATTGTACCGATAGGCTAATTAGGGAAGGCGGTTACTGGCCTGGGAAACAGCAAACAAAGTGAACCCACCACGAGACCAGCTCCACTTCACAGCTTGCGACGAACTTCATCAACCAGAGCGCAGTATGTGCTAGCACATCCAGCTTATCTCTCGGTCATCTCAGTCATTTAATTTCCATCGATTCGATTCACGCAATCACTGGCAGGCTGCCTCTGGAGCCTTGAGGACCGTCTGAGGCGGCCATTCATCTCACTGAAGTTCTCATTCGGCTCCGGCGCATACCTCCCTACCGTCGGCTCTCTGAGCAACTCTACCTCAATCCACAATGTCGGACCTAGTAGAATACTCGGTAGTCAACGTGTGTCGGAGTGACGGCCAGGACAATGGGGTGGGGTACTGGCCAACCCCTGCCGACACGGCTGCGAAGAACGCGAAGAAGACAGCATTGGAGAAGGTACCGAGAGCGAAACCTCAAATGATGCGATTAGACAAAGACGACGCAAGATTTCAGGAATGGCGCATAAAGTTGGGGATCTTGTTGAAGCAAGAACTGTCTCCCACAGGTAGGCATGCTGTCCGTGAAAAGGAAGAAGCAAGCTCACTGACACCCTTCATAGAGGGCCTCCCCTGGCTCATGCATTTTCCGCGGGGCTACTGGTTGTACGAAAAATCTAAGCATCTTTGGGTTTCGGGACATCCAGTCAAGTCGAAGCTGTACAAGAGCCCGCAAGAATTTGGTCTTCATGTTTTGTGGCTCTTGTCCGGCTCGATGGACCGAAGTGACTGCCGTTGCATTCACTGCAACGTTCGCGAAATGCCAAACTTGGAAGATTTGACGGTATCGGATATCCCAAGATCTCTGCCAGCAGCGAATAACACTCAGCCTCCGTCTAAGATGCGCAAGATCACGCCTCAAATCCCCCCAGGCGTCGCGGCGTCCCCGATACCCGTCCCCGCGGCAGCGGCAACGCCTCCTATCGCGAAGAAGGAGACACCTGTGCCAGTGCCCACTCCGATGGTGAAGAAGGAAACTCCAGTCCCGATACCGACGATACCCTCACGCGCGGTGCCGGCCTCCGCCCCTGTGCAAACCCCAATTCAGATACAGCCTACTGCACAGCAGCAGCAGCAACAACAGCAGCAGCACACTCCTCAGCCGAATCAGGCAACTCCTGTTCACCCGCAAGCTCAAACCCCATCACAGGTTCCCATTCAGCCTCAAGTCCAGAAACCAGTCCAGCAGCCACCCCAACAGCAAGTTCAACAACAAGTCCAGCAGCCGATCCAACAGCAAGTTCAACAACAAGTCCAGCAGCCGATCCAACAGCAAATCCAGCAGCAATCTGCTCCAGCACCGGCCCAGGCTCAACAGCAGGTTCAACCCCAGGTGCAAGCGCTGGCACAATCAGTCTATCAGCAGCCGCAATTCCTACCTTACCCTCAGCCTTACGGCGGAATTATAGCCGCAGCTCTGTTCCGCGTTGGAGAACTGGTTTGGTTCCAGATATCGTCAGGTTGGCGTCTTGGTATCGTGGCTGCTACAAACATCATCAACCCTAATACCAATAAAGCCGAGCTTCAAATTCTCCCAATGTCTCACGTCAACTTCAATCAGTCGCCAGTCCAGACGCTAGAATCGACAACGCGCCCGTTCCTTGCATTTTCGGTGCCCAACGTCAGCATTTCGGAGCTGCAAAACAAGGCCTACGACGAGGTCAATTGGGACGCCTTCTTCCAGACAATTACTCCGGAAGACACGCATCGTCGTGAGGTTGCGCTGCTCGACTCTTCAAAGATGGCCGCCCAGAAGGTGGGTGTGTCATTCTCTGTCTTCAGCCGCCTTTCTGAGACAAACGGGGGCAAGAAGATTGACTATCACGGTATCTTCCTCGGCGCTGAGCGGATCGAACTTGGGGATGTCCTCCGCGTGCGTCTTTCTGCCGATCAAGGCGTGCCTCCCGCGGCGGCGAGTCTTCCCGATGCACTACTTGGCCTCCGTGAGATTTGCACCGCGCCTATCGATTCACCTGGTAACGCATTCTTTAAGGGAGATATCTACCAGCCCATCACCGGCGACACACAGCCCATGGGTGGCATACCCGTACCGGATGACAAACTCCCGCGCCCGCTGCGCGACGAGATTGCGTTTCGCAATAAGTTTGCCGCGAGCGACCGCTGGCGCTGCGTGCTGCTCAAGCAGAACGCCGTCCTCCGCGAGCCGGACCTCAAGGGCCGATTCTACCCCACGCACAAGCTCCTGCCCCTGCTCGATGGCCAAGCCAAGGTCCTTGCTGAGGTACAGAAAGGCATTGTGCGTGATGTGCAGCAGCGACTCAACCAGCGCATCGACACATTCAAGACGGCGTACATTGGTCAGAAGCGGACCCGCGTCGAGACTATCGGCCCTGCCCTGCCTCCGGGCAGCGTGATCCAGTTTGAGCAATCCGTGCGTGAGGATGGTGCCTAGGCGGGACGCCTACGACGCCGTTAAGGAGAGATGTGTCTCATTAGTGTTAAAGGAGTATGAGACCGTACTTGTTAGGATAGACAGGCACCGGACAGAGCCCTGTATAGAATAGGAATACTACATAGACGCCGCCGTTGGGTTTTGATATGACCATCCGGTTCTCTGGAGTGTTTAGTCGACGTGAAGGTGCCTTTCCGTTTCTTGGAACTTTCATGTGAACCATCCAGGCTGTACAGCTGGCTAGACCGCATCCTCATCTCAGCCCTTAGCCAATACCCCTTGGACAACAAGCCAAGACGGATACGCCGGGCGGTAAGCCTTGCCCAGAGTGTAACATTCTCACTCCTCACAAGAGGCAATGGCCGCCAAAAAGTAAGTCGACGAGATAGGTAGGTGACACGTCCAACATGGGATCCGCAACATCCACAACCTCCAACGCGAGATATCGGCTTTTGAGGAACAAGTATATCACATACACGCAGACACACGCACACACAAACGCCATCATCTTAAGAAGAAATAACGGCACCATCCAATCAGCACAGAAAACCCAGCCACACTCCATCTCTCCAGCTCCGCCACTCCCTTCCCCCAAGACGATCTTAAATGAACCTCATCCTATGAACATCCTATAAGCTGCCCACAGATGGTCTTATAACTACCGACCGACCGAGTGGAACCATCCATGAAGCGAGGGATGGGAGTGTGATGGACGGAGAGAGAGAGAGAGAGAGAGAGAGAGAGAAAGAGAGAAGAAACGTTCCGTGGGTTCTCAATCGTACTAGCCAGCCAACCATCCATCAGAAACCAAACTGCCGGACGGGGCAGACGCGGAACACACACACGGGGCTGATGGACTTCACTTCACCACAACCACACCCACACACCCAGGCGGATAGGACCGAAAGTATCTGAATGATGGGGGACCAAGTGAACGCCACTCATACCTTGACTTCACTACACACACCAGTTTACACTTCTTTATAATTCTGCAACGCTATACACGTACACGTGCAGACACGAACTCGGCCCCCAAAACCGCACGTCAGCAGAGGCGCCGTAACCTACCCCTCAGATTGGACACTCTGACTGACGCCTTTTTCCATCTAAGCACTAGAAAACATTTTTGAAAGTGTACGTTTCCAAGACCCTTCCTTTCGGCCCCTTTTCTAGAAGGGAAGCTAGAAGGTGCAATATACGGATTTACGGATATTTGGGGGTTGATGGAGGGCCGGGTCGGCTGAGGTCACCCCCCCACACACACACCACACTCACAAGTGTACGGAAACATGTAACTGACAACCAACCAAACGACACATCATCATCTGCAACCACAGTAAGTAAAGACCAACCAAGTCGATGGACACCCTTACCAAGAACCATCGCAAAAAAGGGCAAAGCCATTGTATTCATAGCTTCAAAACCTACTCCCTACTCAGCGTTATTTCCTCCCACCAAAAGCGCCCGAGGTCCCTTGTCCAATCCGCCCTCACTACAACACCGCTCACCAAACCCAGCCCCCCAATGGAACACCAACAACCGCCTCATCCACACACACACACACACACACACATGCGATAAACCACACCACACACCACACACCACACACACACCCCTCCATCACACCGCACCCAATGAACCCCGATTCCCGCTTCCGCCACCCCCTTTCAACCACCACCTCCCGGGCTCACGGGCTCGTGGTGCCCAAAAAAAACGCAAAATCACCAATAGAACCTCCATAGCCGTTGCCGACCGACTTCCCGGGTTTTGAAGCAGCTTGTTGTTGTACCATCAGTCGGTCTGTGCTTGGAAATTTTGTAGCCCCCGTACCATGGTACCCGACAACTCAATCAGACAAAATCCCGTTTCCTGCCAACTTGCTTTCCCACACACACACACACACTGGTTCTTAACAGTTTTGGAGTTAAGACATCCACAGGTTACGTTACACTACGTGACATCGTCGGAGGAAAAAAGCACAACCGCAACGACTCAGTTTTCCGTCACCTAGGTACCACTAGAAAGAAAAAAGGTCAGATGAGATTATTCTTTTAGTGTAAAGACACCCCGAACATTCGGGCCGATAATACGTCTCGGACATTTCACGGCAAGGAATCGATCACGGTCTCAATGACACGAGGGAAAGGGGGACAATAGCCTATGCATGGCGAGTTTGGGGGTCAAAATGCCCGTCTTTGGGTATACTTTGATAAAAAGTACTAAGTGGTAGTAGTATAAGTAAATGATGATTCGTGAGAGATGGGAAGAAGGTGACGATGAGATGAAAGG